TCCAATTTTTTTCATATTTTTATGTATATAATAGTATTTCTTATTCATCACACTTATTTTTATTCAATGTGATGAATATATAAAATTATAGATGCAAGTGAGCTCTAGGAAGGTCATGGATGTCTCAAAGAAGAAGTAGTTGCCACCCAATTTTTACAGTAAATGGGTCCTCATTTTAGACTTGAAGATTTGATTTTATTGTCTTGATAATAACTTCATTTCTCCACTTCTAAGGCATTCAACTGAGATTTTGAATTCCAAATGATTGGAAGAGGGAAGGTGTTAGGCACCACTCTCTCCAAGTTGCTATAGCAACCCGATATGGGAGCTGTTTAGGCTTAACTTGCGTCGAAAAACCAATGAAATTGTTGCTCAGAATTCCAAAAAATCTGGAGAAAAAACACTTCTAACTTTTCCTAAAACTGGTTTGAGGTGATATTATCAGGTCTTAAGTATTAATTTCCCTAAGACCCTCACATCTTTACCTCTTTATCTCAACCTAGAAGAAGCTGAAATGTAAGTTCTCCAAGGTTTAAGAACTTAAAGCAACCTAAAAATAAAACAAATCTAGGAACTACAAGTTTAACCAATAAAAAAAAATCAAGAGGCTTACCTCTCGTATGTAGCCTTGTTAATGAAATTTCAGCAGCTAAATCAAACGAGAAATAGTGCTTGAATGAGATAAAGAGGGGTTTAAAACTGCCAAGGGATTAGAATTTTCGTACAAATCTTAAATCTTAAACACAATGGGTGGATTTAAAGTTCAAGGCTGAAATGCTTGGAGGTTTTTCACGTTTGGGAGCTCTATAGAGATTGAGAATGCTTCTAAGATCTCTCTTTTGTTTCTCCTTTACAAAAATCCTCCTCTAGAGCTTAAGTTGGGTTTCTATTTATAGAGAAAGGAGGGGAATAGGTCTGAATCTCGTCCAATCACAAAGTTGGGCTTTAAAAGAGCAAAGATTTTCAAAGAAAATGGTGTTCAATCAAACTTTCCTTCTTGGTGAAATAATTATCCTTAGTTTAGGGTTGATTTTCATGGGTTTTGTATGTCCAATGAGAATTTGGGGAGTATTTATCATTGCAGTCTCGTATTTGAGGCTGTCAGTGGATAAAACGTAAATTTGACTTACCTATAAATGTTATTTTATCTTTTCTTAACTCTAAGTGGGGCTATCTTTGAGGTTTTTAACTCTACTAGGCATAATTTCATTGGTCTAGGTGTTTTAACAAGTGAAGTAAGGGGTTGACGTCTTCCCCTACCCTCTTGAGATCTCAGGTTGGAACAACTGATATGGCGATTTAATCTAGCACATTGACATTGAATCTTTATAATTTAATGGTCAAACAGATGAATTAGGTTATGGAATTTAATGTATAAGGGTTTTTTGGGTCTTTAAACATGGTGGCTAAGTCTAATTGGTCAAATAAAGATCAGATGATGGAGATTTATGGTTGATATGCTCTTAATCAATGAAATTTGCTAAAATGAAAACTTAACTTGATAGGGGTCAAATAAGGGAATTTTGGGATGAAATTTTGTGGATAGGCATTTTTTTATGTCCTAAATCTAATGGATGTGATGAATCTTTGATCAGAGGCGTGGATTGAAAGTTTTGATTCAGATCAGGTCTTAGCTTATGGTTTATCAATTAACGATAAAGCTAAAAATGGAATCTTGCTTGTTTGATGATTAAACACAGGAATTGAGTCATGAAATTTGACATATAGGCTATGTTTGGTTTGAAGGAAAATGTAGGGAAAGGTAGGGAAACCTATACAAGATTTGTAAAGGTTTCCCTACCTTTCCTTACTTTTTCCTTCAAACCAAACATAGCCATAAGGGATTTTTGGGTCTCTAAATATGATGGTGAAGTCTGATTGGTCAAATAAAGCTTAGGTGATGGCTGATAAGCTCTAATCAATGAGATTTGATGAAATAGAATCTTGGCTAGATGGTAGGTCAAATAAGGAAATTTTGAGTTGCAATTTGGCTTGTAGGCATGGATTAAGGCGAGGAATCACGTGCAAAAATCAGATTTGAGAAAGAACTTATTGATCTTGGTTGTTTAGCTCTGTTCATTTAAGCCCATCGAAACAAAATCTTGGTATTCTTGAAGTTGATTATCGTAGATTTGAGGTGATATTTGGGGGGTGATCGTATCTTAGCATCCTCGAGGAAATGGATGTGTTGGATTTGATTTTGTGGGTTCAAGGTTTGAACATTACATAGATCGTGATCGTTAGAGATGAGATTGGTGTGATGAATAGTGAATCTTTAGGGTTTGATCATGAAATTCAATGTATAACTAAGCTTTAGTTTCCTAAGTCTAGGGATCGTATTTAATCGGATGTTCAATGTTGATCTTAATGTTCTTGTTTGTCATGTGGATTTCGTCAAAATAGGGAATTTGGAGTTTTGGCAAGTATCAAGTTAATTTGGTTATGTTTTTAAGTTTTAGGGTATAAAAGGAGTATATAAAGGAGTAAGGTGAAGGGATTGAACAAAAATCGGGTACTAACAATGTGCCAAAATGCTTTCTACAAAAACTCTGCATTTTTTTTCATTTTTTGTACTTTTATCGTTTTAATTGTATATTATTTAATTATGAGATCAATGGTTGGCATATTTTGACCCAAAAGATTGAACTATTGACTTGCTACCAAATTAAAAATAATTTCATTTTGGGTTAGTTTTAAATTTTGCATTTCATTTTCATTATCGATAAAAACAATTACTGTTTATCACACTTATATATTTTTATAATTTTTGTGCTTTTATATATATTTTTTAATTTTATTATTTAATTATGACATCAATTATTAGCACATTTGAGATTTGACTCGAAAGGTTAAATTGTTGACTCATCGTCAAATAGGAAAATATTTTCATTTTTTTATTTGTTTTAAATTTGTATTTAATTTTAATTATAAAAAAACAATTGTTTTCTATTACACTTACTTTTTAATATGATTAATAAAAAAATATTATAGATGTGCCTAATTTTTTTACAACTTTTTCATTTTTATAATTTTTGTATTTATTTCATTTTAAAATAATTGTTAATTAATTATAACATCATGGGTTGAACCCATTTGACCCAAATGGTTAGATTTCTTACCCACCACATGGATGGAAGAGTTTTGCTCCTAGGTCAATTTTAAAATTAGGGATTTTTGGACTGCACTCCCCCTCAGAAATCTTTTTTGCAGCCCCCTCCTAGTCTACTAGTAGCCCCCT